GCTATTTATATCAGACGATCTCATTCATCTGCATGTGACCAGATTTACCACACATCATAATTTTAACAACGAAATATCGGATAACAGTAAATTTCATTGAAATTATTTCTGAGATTCAGTTCAGCATACAGAAACGAGTGAGGGGTCAATCAAAAGCTTTTTTCCTCCATGTTAAACAATAATGTCACCATATAAATCATAAGGAAAACGACTTTAAATATGCAGAATAAGACGACCAGTGCCACCTCTGCCGAGATTCACATTCTCGACTGATTGTAACAAAACTAATGTCATCTCAGAGTTTGTTTATTCTTAGGAGAGATGAATCATCCTAAGGTGACTGCTAGAGTAATCAGAATATTTATTAGTCACCTATTATTATTATTATTATTATGGCTAGCAGAGGAATCCAGGAGTCACGTTTCGTCCTCTTGGGACTCGTCAACCGGATGTACCTGCACCCTCGTGCCGAGTGATGTTCCTACTGAGACTAGAACCTCGTACTCACCTCTTCGATCTCCAAGGCGTTATCCACTATGCCACACAGGCACAATAGCTATTTCTTATACAACAAATGTTAGTTATTACTATTTATTGGTATACTTGTAATATTACATTGCTTTATTGAATCGATTGTTCGACCTCTATTGCCACATGGACTCCTATGCGAAAGACTCGAAAATGCCTAAATGTTAATCATGGTAATTTGATTGTTTATTTCTAGCAAAGGAATCCAGGACGCGCGTTTATTTGAAGTTGGTTATAGGCGTTGAAAACATCGCTATAATACACTGAATTGTTGGGTAGTTTATATGCACATACTCGTGTTTGTGTACACTTTCTTGTTAAATGTTTTGTAGTTGTGTGTTGATCTTACTCAAAGGCTGGTGAAATACAACTCGTAGACACAGCGTTCGTTTATTGTATACTTCTTTAAAGCTTAACAGTCGACTTGCACAATTGACAATGGTTGTTAATACTGGAAATGCAGGTAAGTACATTATTATTATTATTAGTCCCTTGGGTTCCTAATGGGACATAGGGCTTCAGTAGCATGTCTCCATTCCACTCTGTTCTCTGAAATCTTTTCAACCTGGCTCCACGACAGCCTAGAAGCTCTCATTTCCTCCTCGCACGATCTCCTCCATGTCATCCTCGGACGTCCAACTCGTCGCTTCCCATGGGGGTTCCACTCGAGGGCCAGGTAAATACATGCCAGGTCAATTTTATTTCTTCAAAGTTTCCCTGCTTAGCGTGTTTATTGAGTGTAGGCTAGTTTCATGATGAGATTGTCCTCTTCAGTAAGATTTGTTTCCCAGATTGGTATTTATCATGGACTGACATTAGTTGGAGAAACACTTGAAACATGGACAGCTGTTTCTTCTTAGTATGGGACTCCGCAGTGCGCACCCATAACCCAGCCCGTCAGGTGTCGAACCCGGAACCTTTGGGTAACGTGGTCAGAAATTACCACTGGATCGGAATACTAACCGGAAATCAGTAAGTCCCGACAAATCTCAAAACTGGATTAATCTGGTGCTCGTTGATGACTAGTTTCGGGAAGTGATCCACGAAGTTCCGAGGAGAAGTCGTGACCAGTGGAGCCAACCAAGTGGAACTTGAGAAGAGTTACTCAACAACTGTACTGGGTAGAGGTCACGCTATATCGTGAACTGACAGAGGTAAGGAATATGGACAATCGGATTCCGACGAAGTGGTTCAGTAATAACTTGCCGGCCACAGAACTCGAAGGTCGCGGGTTCGATCCGTGGCGGAGCCCCGGGTGCACATTGCTTAGGAGTCCTACTTTAGGACTTTGAAATGCTGCCAGGTTTCCAATGTTTCCCTAACTAATGTCATTCCATGAAGAATACTAACATGAAATAGATAAATCCACAAAATTTACAGAATTAACAAAGCTATTTAAATCGAGTCAGTTGACTTCACTTAGTTGTGAATGCATCTGATTCCTAGTTATGTTAGGAAGCCTCAATAACTCCAAGAACAATGTCCAACACATTCCTAATACTCAGGTGAGGTTGACTTCAGCAGTTCCATTTTTTGCCTTCGGTTCTATTTCTTCGTTCAAAAGTATGAATTTCATCTTCTAAGAACATTGGTCTCATTTCACGACTGCTGCAGTCGGATGTTTTTAGTGTGATATACTTGCATTCAGCATGAAATTTTACAATGCTCTGCCAGAGTCTTCTTCAAGAAGAGATATAAAGTCAGCAAATTAATGGCATAAACGACCAATCTAGAAGGGAGTGTTTTCTGGTCATTTATCATCTTGATCGATAGCTGCTATCCAACTGGCTGAAACGCTTGTTCCTTCTACGTCATCGCATGCCAGAAACGTTTGATAGTGTTAAGACGAAAAGCAGTTACCGTTGTAGTGCAAATTGCTACACTATGATATGGGTCTAAGGGCGAAGTCATACTGCTGCTAGCTGGATGGGGTGGGACAGTAGTAAGTTGCTTCTCTTCGATGACCAGCAGTCCCGCGCTGATGCTGCCTTCTCAAAGAGAAGGGAGATTTGAAAAGGTCAGTCGTCAAAATAACACAGTCCATTTGCCCCACAATCTTACGATGCTTGGTGTATGGGCTCTTTGTAACCGGCGTTAGAGCATTCAAAACAACATCCTGCGAGAGGCCATATGTGACAGGTCTCAAGCAGATGTCCTATAGACTTTGCAGTCATAAACCTTTTTCTCTTTCAAGGACCCTTAAGTAGAAATTGCCTTCCATAATGTGGACAGCCAACCATCCACATATTTCCAGTAGTATGCAAAACCCTGTATGGAAAATACAGCAGAAAACGCTTATTTCTTCTCCTCCGTGACCGGGCAGTCTATACTTTATAGCTGTATCAATACCAGCTCACTGTTATAATATGCTTGAATACAATGCCTACCGGTTAACGTTTTGTTCCAAGAGTTATTTCGGCAAAAGTGTGTTACTTGTTATTACATTATCAAGTTCAACATTTAAAACGTGTACAATATCAGTCGAAGTGCAATTAACAGGGTAGACTTTGCCTAAAAACTTGAGAACCATAGGTGCGCAATTCATATATTTCGCCTAACTAAATCAAACTTCGCCATGTTCAGTCGGATGTGGTTATTCCAAAGATGTGTGCATCGAGTTTGTGACATAAAATATCATTTAAATTGATTTGTAGTCATATATATATATATATATATATATATATATATATATATATATATATATATATAATATAGGCTACTTCACTACGCCTCCAGAAATCAACTTTTATTTTCGCCTTGAATGCTATTTCAATTAGGCAACGCTTCTCTACAATAAACTCGAATAGAACTACAGTCGTTCAAATTCTCCGATGATTTATGTCTAATATCGCTAAAACCAACAAGTTGACAGAAGAGGCAGAGGACGTCAAAGCCAGAATCGGAAAAGCAAGACAGATCTTCATTAACCTGAAATCAATGTGGAGATCTACTGCACTCAGTATAAAGAACAAGTTCCGGATTTTCGACACTAATTCAGCCAAGTCAATGCTTCTTCCAACAGCTGCCTACGCTTGATACTGAAAATCAGATGGCCAGAAAAAATAAGCAACAAACAACTCTAGCCTGACAACCAAGAACCCATCGCCCAACAAATATGCAGAAGAGAGTGGAGGTGGTATGGACATTCACCGAGAAGACCATTCGGGATATCACGCACCATGCCAGGCCCTCGAGCGGAACCAGATTGGGAAACGACGAGTTGGGTGTCCGAGGCAAGGGTGACATGGAGGAGATCATATGAGGAAGAAATGAAAAGACTGCAGAGAAGACAGTGAAATGGTGATATGCTACTGAAGCTGTATGTTCTGTATGGGACTTAAGGGACAAAAAATAAAAATGTCCAGATTCGGTAAATAAAATCGTTGAAAACAAAAATGAATTTTATACGCTCCCGAGTATTAAGTGATACATACACTTCTAACTAATAGCTAACTTGTGCATCAGATACCACTGACTTCAAAACCCTAAATGGAAAATGGAGAGAAAGAAAACTAATTTAGATGCGAGAGTTTATTACCTACCGAAAATTTGAAAATAATCAGAAACATGCGTATATATACATTATATTTGACCTTGTCCGGAATTTTGTACCTTGATATATTATAAGCAAGCGTCAGCCAATCAGCGAATTACCTTGGGAAAAGAGGGAGATGAACTACGGAC